AGATGACGGAAGACAAAGAACGCAGCCTCGCGTCACGCTTGAGGAAGCAGTTAAGCGGTCATAGGCTACTGACATTTCCGCCCTGTTTCAGAGCCGAAAAGTACACAGATTGACACTGACCTCATTTCTCACATTACTACTACCCCTACCTTGGTCGGACTTCAAAACGTCTACAAACGAAAATATTTCCAGACTGCTATCAATATACGCCTTATTAACGAACTTTTTACTATGCTGAATATCAAAGGACTCGCTCATCACTCTAATGAAAATAAATAAAAATATATTATTTATTTTAAAAGCTTTTTTAATTTTATTCATTTTTTTTCCAAGAGACAGGAAGTAGTGGAGAGCCATGATCGCCTACGTCTTCAGCTGACACGACATAAAAAGAAGTTAAATTTTGAACTGACTGTTGTTCTCATTTGTTCGACTTTTCCTTCTACCCTTATTCCCAATTTGTCTTTTTTTTTTTTTGGCATTTTTCTTTCTGTTCTCTGAAAGAATCTCTTTCAAACTTGTGGACTCTTTTAAAAAGTGGACCATGCTAAGGCGATGTCACGTCTGACGTGAGAGTCACGTTTGTTGACACAGGCTTATGATTAATTCTGGCTGTTCGTCTTTGTCACCAGGCCAGAGTGCTTGAGCGTCTCTTACAAGGCTGCTGGCTGATCGAATGATAAATATGAAGAGGTTGTTCACCTAGTTTCACACGCATGCGTATATCGCACGCACACTTGCGCACCCATCCCCATTGTATACATTTATGGAATGAATGTTACCTGACTGACTTTTAGGCTCAAATACTAATTTACTAATTACATGTGGAGTTTGTCGACAGAAGGCATTTCGCAGGTGTGCGCGGGGATTTTTAAAGTTTTTTTTTCTTCTGCGTGGTACTGTAAGCTTGTCATTCTTCGTTATTTTGCGGACATTTTTTCTCTTTTCAACAATGACAAACCCAATAGAAGGGCTGAAACAGCTTTCGGCTTGACTACCGTCGACTGGGCATACGGTTCTGGAGGAAGACAACGATTTGAATAAAATAATTGACTAAATAGAATTGTTAAACACACGATAATTACGGCGAATACATTCAAAGAATTACGGCTGTTGTGTTAGCCCCATTTTACTTTGGGACTGACTCGAAGAAGAAGAATACTTTCAATACATTAAATATATTTATTTACATAAAATACAACGGTTAAAACAAACACTATGTCCTTGTGGAGGTTGTGTTAATTGATTAAATTATATGGATCAATAATTGTTGAGTAAATAGGCTGCGAGATGAAATTAACAATTTTCTCTCACATTAATATTTCAGTATTCAACAAACAGAATAAGAACATGAGAAACAACAGTTTTTGCACAACAATGAATAAAATATTGATATAACCAAGAGGTACAAATAACTGGAGTAAAGAGGTAGTTTTAAAAAGTTCAAACGTCCTTTTATGTTTAGAGTGAAATGTCAAAGTTTTGGTTTGATAGCTTATAAGTTGTTGAATGGTCTGTACAATAATGAGAAAATGTGTTTGGGTATTATTGTAATTTAAGGAAAAATAAACAGTTCAAGTTTGTACTTAAAGTAGAGAAATATTGTTCACGACTTACTTTAAGGTTTACGGAATTGTCGCTCTTTGATTTGTTTTCACTTGTCGTTTGAAGAGAATATTCTGTAGTTGGAGTAAGTGGTTCTTAACAAGCTGTGTTTATGTTAACTGCAATAATTAACGTTGAGCTTGAAAGCGTATGACAAAGATTCGTGTATCAAGTTGAATGTGGAAAATTTGAGTTGATTGTTCATGATAAAATATTACTGTGTGAATGAGTGTTCTCTCAGGCTGGAATCATGTTAAGGAACTTTAACGTAAAGCCTTGAACTGTTCAAAGGATTCCGATCGGCGCACTGTCGAAGATGAAAGACGTTTCATATTTATTGCTAACTTTGGCAACGTGTTAGGCTCACAGAAGCTTGACAGATTTTGGCGGAATTATTTTTGGTCAGGTCAAGAACTAGGTCGATGTTATTCGAACATGACTTAAATATTAAGTGACCAATCAAAAGTTGAGATTTTCTGAAAATATGTATTAAGCTGAATAAGCTCTCTGATTCACTTTTTGCACAGAAATCGACATTGATATTCAGGCATGATTTAAATATTAAGTGACCAATCAGAAGTTGAGGTTTTCTGAAAATACTTACTAAGCTGAATAAGCTCTGTGATCCACTTTTTGTACAAAAACTGATATTGATAAAAAAAAAAAAAAAAAGGTGGTAGCGGGAGGCTAAATACATTTCTTATGTCAGGTGGACTTAACCTTCTGGTTGAGTGAAATAGTGCTAGATAACTTGTACCTTTAAAACCCTCGGCAATTTGTACCGTTGGCGGCGAAGAGAATTTCTTCTGTGTTACTTTGGAGCAGATCCGGTCTCTTCTCTGCTGATGGTCAGCTTTTTCTGAACTCAGGTGGTTTTATTAACCAATGAGAAACCGCCTAACATCATGTGACCAATCTCTCTATATAGGAGAGAGACGAATTTTACAAACCCAACAATGCGAATATATTGTGGAAAAAATTAGAGAAAAATTAAAAATTTAAAATAAAATGACCTCACCTTTTAAGGTGCTAGATCCGCCTTCAATAGCGATTTACTAAGCATAGTTTACTTGTGGCACAAGGGTGAAAGTATTGGGCAACCAGTGAGAGCCAAACTCACTACCCAGTAATAATTGATCTAGCGAGATACGTGCAGTGGTTAATAAAAAAAAAGAAACAGGAGTTGCGTCCCCTACTTGTTAGGTTATAGTAAAGAAGTGAAGCAGAGTTCCCATAATGCACTAGGAAAACAGTTTTGGTGCGAAAATCAAAAGTCACTCTCTCCCTGACCGCCAACAGTTGGACCAGAAAGACGTGTCTTCTTAAATGAGCTCACAAGAAAGATTTCTTTTCACACAGATAAGCCTAAAACTATTTCTTTCTTTGTGCCCATACACACAAATCTCTCTCTCTCTCTCTATATATATATATATATATATATATATATATATATATATATATATATATAACCAAATGGATAAATATAGGTAAATGGACAAGCAAGCGTTCGTATACAAATACATAAATATATATTCTCTCTACTGTAAAAACAATGCTAATATATATTAAAATATACATTGATCGCATATCTCAGAGTTTCATACTGCCTGCAATCGTCAAGTGAGATATATATATATATATATATATATATATATATATATATATATATATATATATATATATATATATATACACTATTTGCATCGTTTGGCCGTTGTACCCTCCAGCCTTCTTCAGATGATATAGGTTGGAATTTCGAACCGAACCGAACCCTTTATTTAGTCCACCCGGGTAGATCGTTCTAATTCCACGTGCCATACCTGTTTTAAATATCACAGTATCAGTTAATTCCTCTTTAGTAACTAAAATCTCAAAGTATGTGTTTCCTCTGCTGTGAACAGGTATTGAACTCACAACTCTTTGTGTCAACTCACTCTTTGGATAACCCGACCAAAGCTTGTGTCCTTGGGGACAAAACATCGTGAATAAGGCAATAAAGATGGGCACAGCAGTCCGAACGATGCTAATAGTGTAAATAGTTACAATAGCTCATCTCAGAAATGCAGACAGAAATCAATTTATATATATATATAATTATTTATTTAAAAATATGATTCCAACTCGCGACATAAGAATCATATTTTTAAATAAATAATTATATTTATCCTCTACTTTTGTATCGAGCACTATTTTTAAAAAATAATAACTAAAATACTAAGGGATTTTGGATTATTTAACTAACCAGTTCCTTCCTATTTTCTATATATTTTCACACACACACATATATATATATATATATATATATATATATATATATATATATATATATATATATATATATATATATATATATATTGGGGATTTAGGCTTATAGCAATGAGTCTAGAAGAATCCTCAACAGAATGCAGAAAGTATCTGGAACTCATCAGCAGTGCGCATCCACTACTGAGAATCGAACCCGGACCGTTTCGTCATACCAACTGTACCACGGGACTCGGTGACGAAAAAGACACAAACTAGACTCGATATAGCGTGCTCAGTTCTGCAGTATTCAGATAACCTCGGAACAGTGCCCCAAGAGCCACGACTGCTTTTTGACCCTTAGCCGCTTCATCACAGACCATTAGCTGGGTCCAGCAAGATTATATAACAGGTTATAATAACATTTTAAATCGCTACACGCTTTCATGTTCCCATACTATAACCGTGCTTCCTCGGGTGATGGTAGGTGATTGATTATAAAATGATTTTTTAGGGAAATTTAAAAGATAAATCAAAACATACTCACAAGTCTATTTTTGATTTAAGACCTTATGTCCCCCCTTTAACTTTAGGAAAAAGGTAACAATTTGTTTTTAAATTTCCCGAAAAAAATCATTTTATAACCACTTACCTACCATCACATCAGGAAATACAATCATAGTATTGAAACATGAAATCTTTTGTGTAGCGATATCAAAATGTTTTTATTATAATCTCTTAGAATAAAAATATAATAATAATATTTTGTTCTACTTTGTATTGAGCACTTTTTAAAGTAAATTCTACGAAATGTGGATTTTTATTCCATTTGTTCCTTCTCTCATTTGAATATATATCAAGAAATAATCATACATAGACTCAATCAGCAATATTAATGCGATTAATGGCGAACTCACTTCGCTAGTAGAACATAATGTATGCATTAAAATACTGTTAATCCATTGAATGATGTGATCCTCATTTATAAAACTGTTGTCAGATGTTTCTAGTGTATATTTTTTCTTTTTAAGTTAAGCAAGTACTTTCGAAGAGCCACGTCATATATATATATATATATATATATATATATATATATATATATATGACTGTTCATTATCTGTCTCGGTCTGTTCATATCTATTTATTCATTTCAGCCTGTTCATCATCTATCTATCTATCTATCTATCGTAGTCTGTTCATCTCTCTCTCCGTCTGTTCATATCTATTTATTCATTTCAGCCTGTTCATCATCTATCTATCTATCTATCTATCTATCGTAGCCTGTTCATATCTATTTATTCATTTCAGCCTGTTCATATCTATTTATTCATTTCAGCCTGTTCATCATCTATCTATCTATCGTAGCCTGTTCATATCTATTTATTCATTTCAGCCTGTTCATCATCTGTCTATCTATCTATCGTAGTCTGTTCATATCTGTCTCGGTCTGTTCATATCTATTTATTCATTTCAGCCTGTTCATCATCTATCTATCTATCTATCTATCGTAGTCTGTTCATCTCTCTCTCCGTCTGTTCATATCTATTTATTCATTTCAGCCTGTTCATCATCTATCTATCTATCTATCTATCGTAGCCTGTTCATATCTATTTATTCATTTCAGCCTGTTCATATCTATTTATTCATTTCAGCCTGTTCATCATCTATCTATCTATCGTAGCCTGTTCATATCTATTTATTCATTTCAGCCTGTTCATCATCTGTCTATCTATCTATCGTAGTCTGTTCATATCTGTCTCGGTCTGTTCATATCTATTTATTCATTTGAGCCTGTTCATCATCTATCTATCTATCGTAGCCTGTTCATCTCTGTCTCGGTCTGTTCATATCTATTTACTCATTTCAGCCTGTTCATCATCTATCTATCTATCTATCTATCGTAGTCTGTTCACCTCTGTCTCGGTCTGTGCATATCTATCTATCTATTTCGGTCTGTTCATATCTATCTAATCAATATTTAATCTATATATCTATTTAATTTGATTAATATTTAATCTATTTGCTTATTTTTTTTTATTGTATTTTTCCAATTTACGGATAACGTGTTGAGTATTTTGCTCGAAGTTGTGGCTAAATTATCCGATGTTCATATCCTGTTATTTTTGTTCAAGTACTTTTGACTTTGGTAGTCATTATCAAGAACAGACTCGTTTCCAATAACCATTACACAGTACGACACACTAAACCATTTCAAGCCTCCAGCATCCCAAAGAATACCAGAATGCAGACAAAGGAATTCTAACGACCACACAGACATCACAGAGTAGTTTGCAACACATTACTTATCTCTCAGTTGCGTCTCTGTCTTTGTTGTAGAGTGCATTCAGCGGCAGCTCCGTCGAAGGACAGAGTTGCAACTGAGGAAAATTATACTGGGAGGTGCCGGCCCTTGGGGATCAGCTGCTCGAAACCGTGCCCTCTCATTGCACCAGAGAGAGAGAGAGAGAGGGAGGGGGGTCGGTGTTTGCACCGAGACCCACTCAACCGGCATTTGCGGGGCCACGGGTAATTTTTGTTCCTAGCCCGGGCGTATGCGCTCGGACTCCCTACATTAAACCAACCTTGTGTCACAACCTGACCTCTTGCGGGGTGGTGTTGTTGAGTAAATAGAAATTACAATGGCGAAGAATGAATTAAAAGAAATCCTAAGAAAACGAATAATTTAAATAATATAACCTCACCTTTTATGGTGCTAAATCCACCTTCAATAATCAATTATATATTCAACCTAATTACAATTAATGGTAGATAATTATTTACTTTTGTGAATTATTTAAAGTTGAAATATATTTGGAAGTGTAAGAATATTTTTTGAGTGAATATTGCATTAACAATTTTGGGGCTATGACAGTGATATTTCCAGATACAAGTCCTACTGTTTAACCCATAGATGATGGAAGAAGAGATGAATTCATACCTTTCCAAGGAGTATTTACGCGTAAGTCAATGTAACGTAATAGTAGTTAAAGTAGTAACTATAGTTCAATTATGGCTATCCGATTGTTAAATAAGCCCTGAGGCGTACTTGTCAAAATATTGTGATCACTCAAAATCACTCGTACTCAAGATCACTCGTACTTGTCAAAATATTGTGATCATTTTAATCAATGAGGTTTATTCCATTTAGTCAGCTGTTTTATTTAAGTTGTCTTCCGCCAGTTTCTTGCTTTATTTATTTTACTATTTACGAAAAGAACACCATTCTTGAAAATTAGCATATTTCAGAGAGAACGCTCCAAATTAAAACTAGGCAAACCACTTTTGACACGTTCGATAATTCGTAGTTCCTTATCCATAAACTGCATTGCTTTTTGTGGGCGTATGTCCAAGTCGCTTTTTATGACTAGATGTTATGTGTAGGCTCGCTACGTAAGGTAGTGGCAATGATATGTAAAATGTGACACCAGGTCGTGTTTAATGTGGGTTTATCATCAGTACCGTAGAAAAATTCTCAAGCCCCTCGGCATTTGCTCATTTTGAGGACGTCTTAGGCACCGAGCAATAAACCCAACCTCCTCCTCTGGCAACAGTCTAGGTACTATAATATTTAGATGTTCGTCCTTTAAGCAACAAAAAGTGACACAAGGCCGAATTTAATGTAGATTTATCGATAGTACTGTAGAAAAATTCTCAAGCCTCCCCCCCCCCCACACACACACTCTGTAATGCCACATTTTGGGGACGCTTGAAGCACCGAGTAATAAACCAAGGCCCCTCCGAAAGAGGGGTACTACCGGGGAGATCCTCCCAAGGTTTGATATTATTTTCAACAGAGAAACGAACACCTGTCTGCCAGTGGCACAAGACATTTCTCGCTCCAAGAGTAATTACGAGCCAAGTACCACGGTATTTACTCGTCTTCCCACGGTGACGTGACACAAGGTCGGTTTCATGTAAGGGACTCGAAGGCGTACAACTCGGGCCAGAGCCTAAAATTACCCAGTCGGTTGTGCTGGCATCGTTATTGCTACCTGTTATACCATAATACCTATTCTATTGTAATAGACTCTCCCACAGATAATAAGTAGTAGTAGCAGTGGCCAGTTGGGCTCCGTGAGTGAGTCAGTCGATGTCGGACATTGAAGTATCAACCATCACAACTAGATTGCTGCGTCATTAACTCTTATTTCAAGTTCCTAACGTTTTGTACGTCGAACCTAATTTAGGACGACTTAGTGAAATACAAGCCTCCACTGTGAAAACTACTCTACAACACTACCGATCTCCATCTTTAGTGTAATGAGGGGGTACTGCCTCGCGCAGCTGTTCTCCGGGCCCAGGTACCTCTCAGTATTTTTTCTCAGTAGCGCTCTGTCCGCAGACAGAGGCGCAACTGAGAGATATCAACAGTAGGAGTAGAACAAGTACCAGTGCCACTACTTTACGTAGCGAGCCTATACATAACTTCTACTCATACACATGATAATTAGTGATATCAGTAAACAACCACTACTATTTCTAGTTTCAGGGCCTGCTGCACAACTCCACCTGAAAAGGAAAAGAAAAATGAAACGAAATACGTTTCGTATATCACCTGCCAATCCTTCGTCGACAATTGAATGACAAGGGTAAGAACACAGACAATATGTAGAAAATGAGAAAGAAAAAAAAATTCAGAAAAAAGCAAAATGAATCTCGAGCTAATGTCAGGTCAGTTACATGAATGCAAAACACATCACCGGTTAAAGGAACCTCTCCCCTAAACACCGACATTTTAAATGTTTGGGTTTGAAAAAAAAAATGGCGACTTGACAAAACAAGGGATTGGTAACAAAGTGCATGCTTGTAATTTAACGAACACAAGGTTTGTTACAAAGTAAATTTGACCAATAAATGTCATTTTAGCTCAGGGCTTCTTTTACTTGATAGATTGTGTTGGGTTCAATCTACCCAGGTTTTAGTTGCTATCTGGGTATAGGGATTCCAAACATTTAACAACAACAACACATCTTTTAAATGAAACAAAGTTATTTTCTGGAGGAAAAGTGGAAGCAGAACGTTAGTTGAAATGACATTTATAAATTCTTTTCAGAAATATACAATAACAATAAAATGTTCAGTTTTCCTTGCAGTGAAGTTTGTTTCATAAAGCAATTAAGTGTTCGTAGGGCGTTGTGAAAAGTGTGGACAGGCTTAATTTATGACGGTCAATATTTGTAAGTTCATAGACAAAGCCTTAGTTGGCGGTTACTGGTTCCCTCTTCCATAGTGTGCGTGTAGATCAAACTGGCCTCTGAAATTGTTTTGAGAGTCGAGAAGAAGTATGCTTCTATTTTTATATCCGTAAGGGGATTCGTAGGGCGTTGTGAAAAGTGTGGACAGGCTTACTTTATGACGGTCAGTATTTGTGCCTTATTGGTGGTTGCTGGCTCTTTCTTCCATTGTGTGCGTATGTGTTGGCGAGTGTGTGTGTAGATCAAACTGGCCTCTGAAATTGATTTGATCCTCGAGAAGTATACTTCTACTTTTATATCCGTAAGGGGATTCAAAACTTAATTTCACATAGAGGTGTGAACTTTTTGAATATAAGGCTTTTATTGGTTGGAAAATAATATTTTCACACTAGTTCACGAAAATCTTTTTCTCTAATTTGGGGGAATAGTGAAGGGAGTTATTATGGTTATTTTCTAAATGGTGCAAAAATAACAAGTGTTAGGTTTACAACTACGTCCGCGAGTAATTTGGCGGTATTTGTCCTTGTAATAAACGTTCTGATGGGATTTTATTGGTTGATATATATATATATTATATATATATATAGGATTTAATTTTTATAATCCTTGTTGCAAAATATCAATTTACTCGCAAACAAATTAATCGAATATACAATTAAACATAATTTATCAGTGTTTATATGAGAAAAGCATCTGTAATCTATAAATGTAAATACAACCGTTAAAGTTTTAATTATTTATTTAATGGTTGTAATAAAAAGACCGAAAAGAAGAGCGAGGATTAAATATAAATTGTAAGAAGATAAAATGTATGCTTCTTAGCAAAAAGAAGAGCCCAACATTGGAATTAAAAAACTGGAGATATCAAAATAAAACAAGTACAAAATTTAACTATGTAAGAAGTGTTTTAACAGAAGACGGAAAATACGGCACCGAAATCCGAAGTCGCATTAGGATAGCGAAAGATGCCTTCCAAAAGCTAAGCAAAGTATTAAGAAACAGGAAAATTTCGTTAGAAACAAAGAAAAGAGTGCAAAACTGTTACATAATATCAGTCCCCCTATATGGCAGTGAATGCTGGACAATATCCTCACAAGTTGCCTCACAGGTTTCACGTACAATTTCATTTTCAAGACTTTTTTCACTCCTCTTTGGATTGTCATAGCCAAAACTCCTCTATCACATGTGCTAAACGTCTTATGGATTGAGTTGGATCTTTTCTAATTGATCTCTTTAGCTCTAAGTTGAAATGAGGATCCCTCTTCCTGTTGTGACCTCCTGATCCAGTTTTCCTCTCAACTGTTCCCTTTTTTAAAACTTCTTCACCGTTCTCTTGATAGTTCCTGAATGAATTTTGAAGATGGAAGTCAGAGTTTGAATGTTGGTACCATTACTAAAGCCCTAAATGATCTTTTTTCCTCTCATCATTGCTCAGCTGGGAAGACAGTGGATTTTAACCTGTTCTCTTTCCGCCTGAATAGCTCAAAGTGTTTTTCAGTGATTCTTACGAGAAATGGTGTCAAGATAACTAAACGTCTTATCTGAAAACCTGGAAAAAAAGAAACTTAATTAATTTACTGTTTTTTTTGGGGTTTTTTTTTTCATTACCAAACATTTTGTAGGATGGACAATTATGCTGTGATACGATTTGGACAATTTTGCTGTTACACCCGGTATATATTCATACCTTAAAAATAAATAGGTCTTCTCTGCTTACGCTACTCCACTAATGGAACCTGTTTCAAATTTTCCCTAAGAAATGAATAAATCTTATTC